ATTCAGAGGGTCTTCTGACCGGGCCCTCTAAACTTCAATCTCCAGTAAGTGCTGTGGGGCAGCCCAGGGGGCTGGGGGGGCCCAGGGGAGAGGGAGCTGCTGTCTAAGCTGAACCCTGAGGGTAAGTGGGAGTTGAGGTGGGTAGGCAGGAAGAACAGCATCAGCATGTGCCAAGGCCCAGAGGCAGGAGAGAATGGAGCTTCTTCGATGGTGTGTGGAGCTGGAGGGCACAGAGAGAAGAGGGGAAGAGCAATTTAGCACTTTCCTGGGGACATAGGAAGCCATGATCAGCCCCCAGCCACAATGGATTCATCAGTTTGAATGTGTCTGCATGTATTTTCAAAATATAGTATTGATTGTTGCTTTTTTTAAAAAAAAAAATTACAATGACATTATCTGTTCACTATTGAATACTTGATAAGTATAAAATAGTGCATAGGAAAAAATAAAAATCACCTGTTACCTTACCTCTGCTATTAACATTTGGTTAGTTCCTCATAGTCCGTTCTCTGTGCATGCAATATCTATGTAACAAAAATGGGATCGCATTCTGCCCAATGATTTGCAGACTGCCTTATAAAGAAACCTATCATGAACATCTTCCTCTTCATTAAGTATTCTTCTGCATCATTATTTTTAATGGCTGTGGGTAAGTGTCACATGGAAGTACCCTCATTTATTTAGCCATTCCCTTATTGTTGGACACACATGGTGTTCCCAGGTTTTTGCTTTTACAAATAAGGTGCTATACACGTCCTTGCAGATGAGATGTGTTCCCCTTCCTGATTATTTCCTTATTCTACATTCATGGAACTGGAATTGCTGGATCAAAATGGCACATTCGTTTCTAAGGTTTTCAATATTTCCAGAAGATTGTGTCAGTTTACACTCCCACCAAGCAGGTCATAAGGGGCCTCTTTTCTGCACATTCTTACCAGCAGTGGCAATTATCATTTTAAAAAAAAATCTTTGCCAAGTTAATACGCAAAAAATGGCATCTCAATTTAATTTGCATTTCTTTGATTACAAGAGCAGTTAGTTGAGCATCTTTTCACACTGGCCATTTTCACGCTATGGCTTTATGGGTTCACACACGCATCCATTCAGTAATTCCTTTGGTCTGTGTGCCTCCTGTGAGGCAGGGCTGGGCCTCCCCCTTCAAGGGGCAGTGGAAGACAGTGGTTAAGAGCAGGGGCTCTGACCTCTCTCACCTCGTGACCTTGGGCAAGTAGCTATACCTCTGAGCCTCACTTGCTCCACCTGTAAATAGAGATACCCTACCTGGCATCCAGGCTGGTTGGGAGGGTCACATATGATGTAGTTAAGCATTTCACAGGATTCCACATGAACGGTAGCTGCTGGAATGTTGGGCTAGAAGCTGTACATCCTGGGGCCCAGGCAGCTGAGCTGGCGGTACCTGGCTTCCGTGCTGCCTGGCTTTATCTGGTGGTGCAGCTCCTACCTTTTACTCCCATGGGTGGTACATACCTGGGCGGCGGGGGCCCAGAGGACAGGCCCTGGGCCAGGATCACCGATTGCTCAGTGTTCTGACCTGGCCACCCCTGATCTCAGGTTCCCCACTCATGACCTGAGGCCAAGTGTTCCAACACTGCCCTCCCTTCTGTTGGTGTCTGCTCCAGCAGGGAGCCATCAGCCTGGCCCTGGCATTTGGGAAATGACCGAAGGGCCAAACTCTGGTTCCTGCCCCAGAGGGCATCTTCTCAGGCTCTCATATTGGGGAAAGGGCCTCCTTCTTAGTGTGGAAAGAGAAGTGCCCCCTTTGCCCCAGCTCTGGCCTGACTCTCCCCACAGGTCCTCTGTGGGCACCCTCCTGCCCTCACCACTGCCCTGGGCAGCTTTAACTTTTAAAGGATTGAGGAGGAGGAGGAGGAGGAGGAGGAGGAGGAGGAGGAGGAGGAGGAGGAGGAGGATCTTTCAGAGCCTGAGGTGAGGGGGATTCAGACTTGCAGAGGGTCTCCGTCCAGGGGGGCCTTCTTGGATCAGGGTTTCTTTAGCAGGGTCTGGGGCATGTGTGTGCTTCTGGAGTAGGAGAGGTGTCTGATGATGTTGGAGAGTGAGGCAGGTCCCTGTGGGCCTTCATGAGCCCCTCCTGCTCCTGAAACACAGCACCCGGAAGACAAAATGCTGACTTACCGTGTTGGTCTGTGTAACCTTGACCAGCTCTAGGCTTGGCAGAGAGGAGTGGATTGGGAGGCCTCAAAGGTGCCAGGGGGTGGGGCCAGAGGAAAGCAGCCCAGACTGTGACTGCCCCGCCACTCGCCCCGCCCTGTCCTCCTGGCCTCCTGTGCCGGCCAGGAAAGCCCGAAAGCCCGGTGTGTGTAGGAATGACTGGCGCGTTGTGGGCTGGAGCCAATCACCACAAGCTGGGCTCTTGAAGGGAGTGGCTCAGGGCTGCCCAGGGAGACCTGGCTCTGGTGAGGGGTTGGTGCCCCTCTAACAGGGAGCTGGTGCCTTCAAGTTTGCCCCGTGCCCCCTGCCCGCCTTGCTCCGCATCTGGCCCAGCTTCCCTCCCACTCTGCTCCACTGGTGCTTCTGGGAGCGCCCTGATCACGGCCTTTGCACCCAGCTCCCCGGCAGAGTCCCCACTCCCCTGTGATGCCCAGGCCGCTGCTCGGCAGCTCAAGTTGGCTGGGGGCGAGCCCGTCCTGGGCTGTGAGGAGTGCAGAGCCCGCCGCCCAGCGTTCCTGTCTGAGTGGTAATTGAAGCCATTAGCGAGCTAGCCTCTCCCTCGCTGGGTAATGGCAGGAAAAGCTCTTCTCACTCCGCACTCTTGAGGCAGCTGAATCACTCCCCCTCCAACCCGCCCGCTGCCACCACTGAGACAGGGAATCTGACATTTTCTCTCTCGAGGGAGGGGGAGCAGAGGGGGAAGGGAGGCAGGCCTTGCTGCTTGGCCTTTCCCTCCAGGAGGAGGGGGGAGGGAGAGTCTTGGAGCTCAGTTAGGAGGTCACAGACTCATCCGGGCCAGTGGGGGCCAGGCCAGGCAGGACAGTGGCCAGGAAAGCCCCAGAGGCCAGACACAGAGGTGTGGCAGGGCCCTGGTGACCGGAGTAGGTTCTGGAAGGGTCAAGAAGGAGGGAGAAGTGGCGGGGGAAAGGCTGAGGGCACAGATGAGCTGTTTCTGACTTTGTCCTGGGGGTCTGGCTCTGAGGGCTCTGGGTGCAGGTGGCAGCGTTAGCCTTATGGTCATGGATACAGCAGATGATTGTGTACCCTCTGTGTGGTGTGGGGGCCCTATGTGCCATGTGTAAGGCAGTATGTGTGTAAAGTGTGTGGTGCAGTGTGTATAGTAGGTGTGTGCCTTACAGGTGGTATGTATAGCAGGGGATGTGCAGCAGACTGTGTGTGTGTGTGTGTGTGTGTGTGTGTGTGTGAGTGTGCATCAGGCATGTGCGGGGTATGGTGTATACAGCAGGTGGTGTGAGGAGCACAGAGCCTGCCATCTTGCAGTGTATGTGCATCAGACTGTGAGAGTGTGGTGTGTATAGCAGGTGGTGTATATCATGCACTGTGTGTGTGTGTGTGTGTGTGTGTGTGTGTGTGTTGTATGTGTTGTGTATGTGGGATGGGGTGCAAATACAAGGTCCGCACCTTATAGGCTGTGTGTACAGCAAAGGGCTTATGAAGCAAGCATTCTGGGCCCATTGTCTCTGGGACCCCACAGGATCCCTGCTCGGAGCTGTTGGCCGCGGGGACAGAGGATGAACTCAGGACAGAGTGGTTGGGCTGACCACTCTGTCCCCATCATGACCACAGCAGCATCTGAGACCATGCAGATCTGAGACTCGGCATCCATTTCCCGGAGAGTTCTGTGCCCCAGGCCTGTGGGTGGGAAAGATGCCGGGTAGGAGGGCACTTCCAGTAGGCCTTTGAAGTTCACACTCTGGGTTTCCTGATACCTAGTATCCCCCATTTTTTCTAGTTCTGATCTGCCTTCAAAATGCCCAAGGGGAGCCCAGCCGGTAGGCTCAGTGGTTGAACATCAACTTATGAACCAGGAGGTCAGGGTTCAATTCCCGGTCAGGGCACATGCCCAGGTTGCAGGATCGATACCCAGTAGGGAGCGTGCAGGAGGCAGCTCATTAATGATTCTCTTTCATTGATGTTTCTATCCCTCTTTCCCTGTCCCTTCCTCTCTGAAAGCAATAAAAAAATTTTTTTTGAAAGGCCCAAGTGGGCTTCCTTCTGCCTCCTGTGGGTGGGCACAACATCTACCTCCTCTTAGCCACAGGCACACCAGGCACCTCCCCTGTGCCCGCCATGGCCCTTCTACCCCTCTAGTCACAAGGACTTACAAAGCCTTGGAGCAGGTAGCCAAGGTGGAGGTTTTAAATGACCCTGTGTGTGTGCCCTGGCCAGTGCGGCTCAGTTGGTTGGAGCATCATCCCATACACCCAAAGGTCTCAGGTCTGATTTCCAGTCAGGGCACATGCAGTAGGCAGCCGATCAATATTTCTGACATCCATGTTTCTCTCTCTCTTTGTTCCTCTTCCTTCCTCTCTCTCTAAAATCAGTGGAGGCATGTCCTTGGGTGAGGATTAGAAAAAGGAGAAACAAAAAACTTTAAATGACTCTGTGCGTGCACCTCCTCCATCCTTGGTGAGGTGCCCTATCTCTCTGGTTGCCAGAGGAGAGAGGATTTCAATCAGGGGAATGACATGATCACCTGTATGCATCAGAAAGGTCCCTGAGAGCACAGAGGCGGGTGGAAGGAGACCAGTGAGAGGCTGGGGCAGCCCTGCAGCCCAGACAACAGGTGGCCATGGGCCAAACCCAAGCGGTGGGTAGGAGAGGAAGGGACACTGGGTTACAAGCAGTTCAGAAAGCGAGGTGGCCTGCCTGGCTACCTGTGGGATGGGGGCGGTGGAGCCTCTGGTTACTGCCTCTGCAGCCAGGTAGATGGTGGTGCTGTTGGCCGCGATGCGGGTATGGGAGGGCGACCAGGTTTGAAGGGGCAGGTTGATGAGTCCTGTTGGGAACCTGTTGTACCAGGCATGGGAGGCATCCAGGGGAGGCGTCAAGGAGGCCTTGTTTAGATCCGCCTGGCAGTCCAAGGGACATCTGGAGATGGAGTTTTGAAGGCCAAGAAATGGCAAATCTCAGAGAACGAGAGCCAAGAGAGGAAGAAGGGGGCCTGGACGGAGCCCCAGAAGCTAACTCTTCCTATTGGGAGGGGAGCTGGCAGAGGAAGCTGTTGAAGAGGGGCCTGGGAGGTGGGAGGGGAACGAGTGAGACCATGGAACTCAACGAGGAAAGAGGACATGAAGGAGGAGGGAGTGGTCAGCAGGGTGGGGTGCTGTCCAGAGGTCAGGGAAGATGATGCTGAGAAGTGTCCTTTTGGTTTATCTCCATGGAGTCATGCTTGACCTTGGGGAGCATGCAGGCAGGAAGCAGTGAGGGTGACAGCTGGGCTGCAGGGGCCTGAGGAGTGAGTGGGAGGCTGTCACTGGTCTGGAGTGACTGGGCCCGAACCTGATGGAGGGGGGTAAATGGATCAGAGGAATTTCCTGAAGTGGGATGGAGGTGGGGAGCTCCAAGAGGAGAGTCTAGCATGGGCCAGGGCCGGACGCTGAGTGTGGGTAGGGTGTATGCCCAGGGAATGCCCCTCCCCCCAGCCAGCTTGGTGTGCGTGGTAGGGAGACCTCACCGGCCAGGGTGAGTAGGGCTGTGTGAGGTGCCAGGGAAGCCCTGGGTTGAGAGCGGGGACTGGGAGGGGTGGCCACGGCTGCCGACAGGCCCCAAACAGCTCAGATTAAAAAACAAAACAGGCTTTTAAGATGCCAAGTTTGATGAAATCTGAGTGCTGGAAGAGGTGGGAGTTTTCTCTTGGAAAAGCTGAAAATCAAGACTGAAAGCTGCGAAGGGAGATGGGCCCAAGTCTCAGTCAGGCTCCCCTTACTTCCTGGAACCTGGGGGTGGGGCTAGGCTCCCAGGAGAGTGTGGGATCCTGCCTGTCTGGGGAGGCCTTTGACTTGCTGGTGGGGTGGGCGTGGGGGGGTCTTGGCCTGCCCCTGCTGAGGTGGAGCTGCCTCAGGGCCAGGCCAGAGGTGGCCTTGGTTTCCTCTGAGTGCATGAGGGCTGAGGGAGCCCGCAGCTACCCACGAAGTTCCTTTCTGTGTCTCTACACATCTTTTCGGTGTCCGTGTCTGTGTCCTGTGTGTGTCTTCAGGTGCACGTGTCTCAGTACATGTATTGCATGTCTCCACATGTGTGTTTGCATGAGTCTGTTTCCACAGGTGCTTGTCACTGCCCCTCCACACACACGGAGGTTTCTGTTTTTGCACCTCTCTTTTTCACCACGTGTATCTGTGGCTGTGCATGTTTCTAGGTGTCTGTGTGTTCAGAGACGGGGTGAGGCCAGGCCCCACACTCACACACAGGGAGGGGACAGACAGTGCCACCCCAGGGAGCCTGTGTATGTGTGTGCCTGCATGTGCACAGAGATGCCAGGAAGCTGGGTAAACAAGGGTGAGAAGGTCGTGCTGACAGATGGCGCTGCCCACCCTGAGACCCTGCAAGGCGCCTCCGTCTGTCAGCTTCCCTGGTGCAGCCCCCTCCTCTGGCCCAACTCCCCCTCAGGCATCTCAGGCTGAGCTCAACAAAGAGACCTGTGTGTGCTTTGTAGGGGCCCCAGCAGCCTCCCTCTCCCAGTCACTGCCACCAGCCTGAGCGGATCCCCTGTCCACCCCCTCCCTCGTCTCATCTATCAGGACCCCTACATTTTCCTTAGCTTCAACCAGATATACCTTTCCCACCCTCCCACAGCCTTTCCTCAGGAGCCCCTCCCTCACCCATGAAAGCTCTGCCTGCCTCCCATGCTCAAGTGTTTCCTATCCTTGTATCTCCTTCCTCCTCCAGGAAGCCACCAAGGTAGCAGGTGGGCTGTGGAGTTGAACTGATCCACTCCACCACGGCTCCCAACACTCCCAACACACACACACACACACACACACACACACACACACACACGCACACACCGTCATCTTCCTCTACCCCAGTGGGGACAGCAGGAAAGGGGCCAGGTCTCCCTCCGTAGTATGTAAAAACCAGCACAGTTTGGAGCAGGAGCCATTCATGTACACATGTGCACCCACCACAGATACACAGAGGTCTGGGGGGCAGACCCTGGGAAAACGTGTGTGCACCCTGTATGTGCATATGTGCCGCAGCTGGAATCCACAGACGGCTGTAGAGACAGGCTCCTGGTACCTCCAAAGTCCCCAAGGGCTCCTCTTTCCATTCCTTATCAGAGGAGGGAGGACCTCAGCCCCACTGGGGCAGACGCTGCAGATGCCCAGGTGTTGAGGCTGCAGATGTGTGGGCACCGCCCCTTCCCTCGTGCTGTGGCGCTATCTTAGTTTTGCTTGAGCAGGAAGGACTCCTAGGAGGGAGGGTTCCCCGGAATTGGGAAGCGGGGGTCCTGGGAGGGGTCACCGCGAC